GAGAGAGAGAGAGAGAGAGGGTTTACACTATCTTGAGGCCCTTATCAATGGCTCGCCTATTCTTCCTCGCTTGTCTTTCTATATCTGCAGCCTCAGTGTTGAGTCTACGGGATGTAGAAGTTAGGAAGTTTGTAGTTTCAGAACTTCCATTGGCTTCTCTCAAATTGGTACTCATGTTCCTCATTGCTCCTGTCGCCTCATGTATGGTATCTGTTGCATCATCTGCTGTATCAATAATAATGTCTATCACAGTCTTTGCTCTGGAATGGAACTTTGCATTCCCTCCAAGAACCAGGCCAGTTGCAGTTCTGAAAATGATAATAATTTCAAATAGTTTAATGACATGCTGACAGACCATGCATACATCTCTCTCTCTCTCTCTCTCTCTCTCTCATGGCTTCTTTATTAAGGTGGATCGACAGTAGTAAAAACTAAAAATGAAGCTAAAATCTTGTATCTTAAAGATCGTGTAATCAATGCACGTGGCTGTTCTATATCTAGCAAATTGGTGAAAAAAGCTATTCTTTTTCTCTAAATATTTGAGTGGACTTCATTATTTCCCTTTCTTTATGGACTATGTAACTAGCTGCGAAATATTTCGATAATTTTTATACCTGTAGTATTATTTATTAGTTGAATATGACAGAGTTAAGAGAAAGAATTCATTGCTTACATTGCTAAGATGGTAAAGAAAGTAGCCAATAGCAGAGGATGTAGATAACACTGCTTATGACAAGGCAATCTCTTCTTTAGCTTTCTGTTCTTCATAAAAGTTCTGGTTACAAGAAGAAATCCTCCATAACCAATACCACATAAAAGCCATACTGCTGCAATGGCATATCCATATATGCCTGTAAAGGCAGTAGACTGAACAAAATAGACAAGAAAACATTAGTTCTCAAATCACGATTATGTCTTTCTTCTTTCGTGGTTGTGGTAAGTAGACTTACACTCCAGTAATGCTTGTTCCTTATGTCATATCCTCCTCTGTACTTCTTGAAACTGTCCAAAGGGTCGACTCTCACGGTATCATCAGATTGGTTAATTCCTTCTGTTTCAGCCAAGTGTCTTCCTGGAAAATCAGAAACTGTCTCCTTAAACTATTTGCAGCTTAATCCAAAGTTGCTTGGACAACTTGAATAAGAGATTTGGGTATGTATTTCATGTTACAACTTTACAGGGCAATCTTTGAAAAAGAAAAGGTAGAACAGTTACCTGAATCGATAGGGTTGGAATAGGTCGGAAGTCCTGGAAGTTGTATGAAGTTTAAGGCCAGGACCATGGCAACAAGGATTATACGCGCAGTTTTGCTTGGTGGGTAACGCATTTTTCTAACCTGTGAAGTAATTCGTTATTTTGAGTATGCAGTTTAGC